CGGTCCAGTGGGAGTGCACCAGGATGCGCTCGGGGGGGGCCAGCCCTGCCGCCAGCAGCAGCGCCGGCCAGTACAGCGCGTGGAACTTGAGGATGTCCTTGCCCACGACGTGGTGCGCGGCCGGCCACCACGCACCGTGGCTCTCGGGGTACCCCACCACGCTCAGGTAGTTCACCAGGGCGTCCACCCACACGTAGATGGTCTGTGTGGGGTCACCGGGCACGGGGATGCCCCACTGCAGCCGGCTCCGCTCGCGGGACACCGACAGGTCCGGCAAATCCTCGTCCAGCCAGCGGAGCACGCGCTGGTAGAAAGGGTCGGGAGAAATGGCGCGTGGGTTGTCCCGGAGCCAGTTCTGCAAGGGATCCCGGAACGCCGAGAGCTTGAACATGTAATTCTCCTCTTTGGTCCAGTGCACCTGGGATGGGAGAAGAGGAAAGGATTACGGCCCAAATGCTGCGAGAACAGGCTGACAATTTGCACACAGCATTCTCAGTGTGGAGTTTGTCACAAGCTCCCTGTGCCTGGGTGTCCTCCCACCCCATGGAAAGCCCCCAGTATCTTTCCATGACTAGTAGGAACCTCCTTGCCCAAGACACGCCTGAGGACTTGGGCACCTGGGATGGTTCAGCATCCTGCTTTTAAATACTCCCATAATCCCAGGAAGGAACACCTTTCTACCTGCCAGGTTGATGTGACATCAGGAAGGAATTAGGGAGATGAGAACACACTTTCTTACTTTCTTAACAACATAGTTGTGCTATAATAGTGGAAAATCATGAAAAGACACAGTGATGTTGTAATTCCTGCCCTACTGGCACTCCTGGTGCCTGCCTTTGCTGTTCTGCTGGGGGCAGTTTATGCATTATGCATTAATGCATCTCAGCCACTAACTTTGTTTGCTTATGGCACTGACAGCACTTCTCCCCCACTGTTAAATCCATTAAATGACACATTTAGCTAAACCAGTGAAAAATGGTGGGTGGATGCAGTACAAGTGAGCTGTGTAAGGCACTCAGGGATCCATGGCTGGGTCAGGAATCTCGCAGGGTACAAGGAAGACCTGAAGAACATTCAAAACATATTCAAAGACGAGCTGTACCCCTTCACCCCCAGGCTCCACTGGACACCAGAACCCAGACACTCACCAGAAGTCTGGGGTTTATGGCATGTCCCCAGTTATCTTAGGGGCTTTCTCAAGAGTTATTATTTGCTAATACAGCCCTTTCTGTGTGAACCAACACTCCTACGTCCCAGCCTCATACGAAGACCACAGGAGCATAACCTGTGCTGAGCTCTGAGCAGGATTATCTGCAGCTGCTGGATTAAATAATGTAACTCCTGACACCTTCTAGAAAACGCAGTGGCAGAGAGACTCTGGGGCAGGTACCACAGTCCTGGGTGCACCCATCCAGGCATCAAGCTGACCACAGGCAGGTGATGTTACAATGGTTTAGGTGGGGCCAAAACCCACGTAAAGAGATTGGTTAAGTGTCCAGAGGCCACACTGAACTGTCTCACAAAACAGGTCTCAAACTCTGGACCCCCCAAGGAACCCCTCAGCTACAAACACCATTATCTTCCCACTCAGCTAATTTCTCTCATTGCCACTGTAAAATACCACTTCCAGGCCAGCAGGCTGCAAAACCCCCAGCAGCTGAATCCTTGGCACGTGGCTGTGATGTGCATCTGCCAGGTGGGGTTTGGCAGCTCTCCCTCGGACCCCCACTCACCACCATAACACAGAGAACCACAGACTGGTTTGGGCTGGGAGGGACCTTAAAGACCATCTTGTTCCACCCCCTGCCGTGGACAGGAACACCTTCCACTAGACCAGGCTGCTCCAAGCCCCGTCCAACCTGGCCTTGGATGCTTCCAGGGAAGGGGCATCCACAGCTTCTCTGGGCAACCTGTGCCAGGACCTCACCATCCTCACAGGGAAGAATTTCTTCCGAATACCCAATCTAACCCTGCCCTCTGTCAGTGGGCAGCCATTGCCCCTTGTCCTGTCACTCCAGGCCTTTATAAATAGTCTCTCTTCATTTTTCTTGCAGGCTCCCTTCAGATACTGGAAGGCTGCTATGGGTTTTCCCCAAAGCTTCTCTTCTCCAGGCTGAACAATCCCAATTCTCCCAGCCTTTTCTCACAGCAGAGCTGCTCCATCCCTCCGATCACCCTGGTGGCCTCCTTTGGCCTCTCTCCAACAGGTCCATGTCCTTCCTGTGCTGGGAACCCCAGAGCTGGAGGCTCTGGGGGGGTCTTACCTGAGTGGAGCAGAGGGGTAGAATCCCCCCTCACACTGTGGTGATCAGCCCAGGACAGAAGGTTTCTGGACTGACAGGTGACATGTATGTCAGACTCCACTGACATACAGGTGAGTCTCAGCCAACATGAATCACAGAAGGCTGCAGGAAGCATTAAACACCCCAAATTCGGCCAGAGCAGAGCAGCAGATACGCGTGGTGCTCCCACAGGTGCCGTTACCTCATGGCCGGTCTCCAAGGACACCTTGCAGGGGCGTCCCTGGGCATCCCTGCGCTCAGCGAGCTGGCTCTCGGGCAGGAAGCTTTCCTCGGGAGTGCAGTACCAGCCCTCGTAGGAGCCCTTGTAGAGCGCCCCGCAGTCACGGAGGGCACCCCAGAAGTGCCGCACGGCCCGCTGGTGCCGGGGCTCGCTGGTGCGCGTGAAGTCGGTGAAGGCGACGCCGGCCTGGGCCAGGGCCTGGCGGAACAGCCCCGAGACGCGCTCGCAGAGCTCGGGGGGTGACATCCCTGCCGCCGCCGCTGCCTGTTGGATCTTCAGCCCGTGCTCGTCGGTGCCTGGAACAGAGAGAGACCGTGGGGCCGTGGGGAGGAGTGCGGGGCTGGATGCCCCCTGCGGGGACACAGGGCCAACCTGGGGGCATCGGGAGTGGGGTCAGCTCCGGGGGTGGGGATCAGACCGGGAGGGGGGTCAGCCCCTGGGGAGGGGGTCAGACCCAGGGAGAGGAGTCAGACCGGGACGGGGTCAGTCCCGGAGGTGGGAGTCAGAGCAGGAGGGGGGTCAGATCGGGGCAGGGGGTCAAATCGCAGGGAGCTGGTCAGCCCCGAGGTGTGGGGGGTCAGTCCTGGGAGTGGGAATCAAACGGGCGGGGGATCAGACCGGGAGGGGGTGTCAGCTCCGGGAAGGAGTTGAGTCCCGGGAAGGAGAGTCAGCTCCGGGAAGGAGGGTCAGCCCCGAGGGACTGGGGTCAAACGGAGGGAGAGGGGTTCAGACCGCGGGAGGGGGGATGAGCCCCAGAGAGGGGAGTCAGCCCCGGCGCAGGGGGTCATCCCGGCACCCCCGCTGACCCGTGCAGAGCCGCCCGGGCCCGGCGGCGCGCAGGCGGCGGTGGCGGAGCAGCGCGTCGGCCAACAGCGCCGAGTACAGGTGCCCGATGTGCGGCGGCCCGTTCGCGTAGAAGATGGGGGTTGAGAGCAGCAGGCGGCGGCCGGGCCCGGCGGCGCTGGCGGTGCCGATGGCGCGGCGGGACGGGCGCGGGAGGCGGCGGGGCGGCCGCAACATGTCGTTGGCGGTGGCGGCGGCGGCGGCGGCTCCGGCACCATCGAGGCGGCGGCGCGGAGCGGCCGCCCGGAAGCGGCGGCAGGAGGCGGTGGCGGGAGGCGGCGCGTGCGCGGCGGGGCCGGGCCGGGGCCGGGCCGGCGGGGCCGCGACCGAGAGGCGACACCGAGAGGCGACATGTTCCGCTGCCGCGGGGCCCTGGCGCGCGCCCTGCGCCCCCCGCCGCCGCGAGGGCGCGCACAGGCGGGTCAGTGTCGGCACCCGGGGGGGACGGGCACGGGCACGGGGGGGCGGCGGGCGCGATCCCCTCCGCTGCCGCCGGTTCATCCCGCGCGCGGGTCGGGACGCGCCGTCCCTCCCCTGCGGCCCCGGGAGTGGCACCGGAGGGCACCGGGCCGGGAGGGCGCGGGCGCGGCCCTGCCCGGATCCAGCGGGATGCCCCGGGAGCGGGAGGGAAAACCGTGCTTGGGACACCGCGAGTGACCTGCAGCTGCGCGGTCGCCATTCGGGTGGCTTCGGTGTGGCCGCGGTTTTTGTTACAAATAAGCGCGTTTGGGCAGAGCTGAGGCGGGTTCGGGTGTCCGCCGGGGGAGGTGGGGAGGGACAGACCCCAGACCTCTCCTGGGAGCATCGGCCGTGCCGCGAGCAGGGCTCGGAGCCGTCCCCGCCGTCGCTCCAGGGGGGAATCAACTCCACGGAGGGGCGGGCCGTGATCAGGCCCAAGTGGAACAAAACGCCGCGTAGCTGCTCAGCCAGGTGTGCTCCTTGTGTGCCGGGAGGTGCCTGCACCTGGATCTGCTCAGTTCCACGGGGGATGTGCTTTGTGCCGGCTGTGTCCTGCTGGTGGTTGACCCCGGTGGAATGAGCCGTGTGGGCAGGGAGGGGGGTTCGTGCCGCTGTGGCCATCCCTGCTGCTCGCCCCGGCGAGGTTACCTGGAGCCAGGTGCATCCTCGGACAGGAGAGGCCTGGAGAAGGTGTGGGAACCACCAGCGCACGTCTCTGTGCTCTCCCAGGCCTGTGTGGCCGCAGGCTCCAGCTGCAGGCGGCCTTTTCAGCTGCCTGGAGATGCTCCTGCTATTAATTAGCTCAGTTACTCCTTGATCCTACAGATGTTTTCATATCCACGGCTGCCTGGAGCACGTTGTTGTAGCATGGGATAAATTCCCTGCGGTCGCTCAGATGTGGTGCCACATTTTCCAAACAAGGAACTTGTTTGGTTTCAGAAATTACTTAAGTCTCTAAATTTCTGGGCGTACCTTTGTGTTGACAGTGTTTTTGTGTTGTTTTCTCCAATAAATTGTGTCCCTTAGGCACCCTGTTGCAGCGCTGGAATGTGCCCCCAGACCTGCAGCTGAGCAGACAAGTGCAGACAGGCGTGCCCGGGGAAAAAGGCAGTAATAAGTTTTTTGCCTTTATTGTGGGCTTGACCACCTTAGGAGCAGGTGCCTATGTAAGTAGAAAGGTGGTTCCTTGGGAAGAAGCCACAATCCATCTCTCCTGTCGAGCGTTTTCTGTATTCCAGCTCTCTTTACTCAGCTTTTGATCTCTGTAGCTTTGTCTCTGCTTCCTCCTTCAGAAAACTTTAAGGGGAGCTAACTGGAAATTAACTTCTTGTGATTACTTGTTTTTTAACTGTAATTTCAGTTACCTGTTAGGGTTTTTTTTACCTTAAAGGCACTCTTGGGTTTCTTCTGTTATGACCAAACACAGCTCTGTCTGTTGTCATGTGTGGGATTTGATACCAAAGCAAACCTTTCCTTGCCAAATCTCAGTTCAGAACATTTGTTTAACTTCTTTAAGGATACCAAATCAACTCCCAGTTTGTGAGCATTTATGTCCTACATGAAAAGAATAAGGGTTTTCGGCCCGACTTAGTAAATGACACTCCCAGAGAGCTGAAGAGTAGCAGCATTGCCTGGGAGTGGATGGATCCCAGGTTTACATCAAACAAATCTGTGTTTCCAACTTCTTTCTCTTAGAGGATCGTATTCATTAAAAGTTCCAAATCCCGATTTTCTCCTAAAGAAAGTCCTGGGAAAGGGGAAAAAAAAAATTTAAGACAGTGCATGGAGGAAAAGTTTTTTCCTATTCCCTTTAAATTTAATTCTTTCCTGTGCCTTTCTGCCCTTTTTTTTTTGGCAGCCAAGGTAGCTGAAATTACAAAGCCCACTCTGCTTTTCCTAGGGCCTGTTTAATCAAGAATCTTTCCTAATATACAGCTCTTTCCTTCTTCTCTTCCATTGCCTGTCTTCACCTGCAGTTTTGCATTGCCATCCGCTAAGATGCCCTTCTAGATCCCTGATGTCTTCAGGTGTTCCTGGCAAAGCTGGCAGCAACCTCTTGTTATACTTAATAGTGGGAGGAACAGTCACTGGGACAGGAGCTTATGTAAGATGCTTCAAAAAACGTGTTTATGGGGTAGGAGGGTGGAGGGAGGGCACCTGTCTGTACCTCCCACTAAGTTACCCTTCACTTCAAACCCTCTTTGTGCTCCCTGGCCTCAGGTATTAATTTTCAAGGGGGCACTGCCAAATCATTTGAGGTTATAAATTTGATATTCTCAGGCAGTGCAGTTCTCAGTGGAGAAATCTGCCTTAGAATTAACCTTTCCACTTTAAGTAAATCTAAACCAAACTGGCCATCTTTGATTTGTAACCATCAGAAAGGCACTAGTTCATTAATTAATGCACCTGTCGTGGTGTCAGTAATGTCGGCATGCTGAAAAGGAAATAATAACTAAATATAAGTGTGCTGATGGTAAGAAAATTTGTCCAGTGTTATGATTTCTTTGGGGAAGAGCACTGAAATGTCACCCCATGATCTGGCAAAGTACAGTTGTGTTTCTGACTAGAAAGAAGTTGACATTGTCCTGTTGGAAATATTTGTCCTGAAGGCCTCATCTGATGTTTTGCTTGTGGTTTTTCCTAAGAGATAGGTTTAATTTGCAGTATGCTGCCCTTTGGACTCGCTGAAAACTTTCCTGGTTCTGCTTGCAAAGACAGAGGTGGTTTGTTAACCTTGGCTTTTCTGTCTTTAAGCAAAAGGCTTTAAAAATACCATTCTCTTGAATTCTGTTCAACACTGACAAATTCTTGTTTCTGAAATTTTTGACATTACTCCAGTTCCCTGGACAGGCTTTTGTCTGCCCATGATCTTTTTTTGTGCCTGACATTAAATTCCTCCATTTTTATTTGAGACTATTTGCTATAAAACACCAACTTGTGGGAGTTGGCAAATGAAATTTGATGTTGTACAAATGCTAGAGATTATTAGCAAGGCTGGGTTTTGCCTTAAAAAGAAGGTTTGCTTCCCTCTAATTTGTTAGCCATGGGGGCAAACACTGGATTCTCACCTGCTCCCAGCACTCCCAGTGTCCAGCTCCTCTCCATTACCAGTTCTTGTTGGAGGTTAGCATGACGTAAGAGATGTTCCCTCTTTGTCTGTACCACTAAATTGTACCTGCTGTATCCTGAATTTTCACAGTCAAATAAACAGGTGAGCATTCAGCTGGAAGAGATTCCGTGTCCAAAGGCTGTTACCTGGAGCAGCCCTGCTCCTGTGGCTGAAGGCACTGCTGAGATCAGGGGTGTCACCACTGCCACCACCATGCCTCTAACACCTGGCCTAGAGAAAGCCACTCAGGTTGTTGGCTCTGCCCGGCTGCTCTGCGCTTGGGAAGCTGGGAGATGCTTTTTCTTTGGATTCGTCTTCCATTTTGCAGCCTTGTGTCGTGGCCCAGCTTGCAGGTGGCCTCGGGGTTGGTTTGGCTGCATTTCCTGCGCTGGAGCTGGTTCCTCTTGGAACAGGTTTGCAGCCAAACACCTACAGGAAGGTTCATTGCTTCTGGGAAGCAGCCAGGCACCCAAGGCTCATCAGACCAGGGGCAAAGCAGGTAATTTTCTGAGCACAGTCTCAATGGGCACCTTGTCCAGTGAGGTGTATTTTGGTCTGTGTGTTTTAACTAAAAGCAGATGGCTTTTCCAGCACGCGGGACGGACAAAAACCTGTCAGGGGGTAGGAGCAGGATGGTGCCTTGGTTCTGTAAGGTGTACAAGGTCAGTATCTCCTGTCTGTCTCCAGGTGTACAAAACACTGAAGGACAACAAGGAGCGATTCACCAGCCGGGTCTCGTCGATTACGCGACCCCAAGACGACGAATCCTCTGCAGCCGGTGGGTACCAGCCTGCTGGTTCTGGGGTCGGCTCTGTTCTCAGCCTGGGACTTCCCAGCACAGAAGATGGTGCTGGCTCTCCATGACCCAGAACCAGACTGTTTTACAGACAATCCTGAGGGTGAAGCAGGGTGTCTCCTCGGGCTGATTTCTGAGTGAGCCCTGCTTTTGGCTTTTACCTTTGCGCAGTCTGACAAGGACACTGTGATTCCAAGGGGCCTCTTTCCCTGGATAGCAGAGGAAGAGGACCTGCCCGTGGTAGGAGGTGCCTTCTGCAGGAACTCAAAAGTGGTCTCCTTTAATACAATTACAGAAATACGTGCCTCGACCTTTTTGGGAACTTCCCTTTGTTATCAACTGTTCCCTGGTTGGCCAGTGCAGAGTTTTTGGTCTTGCTTAGAAAAACCAATTTGCTGAAATCTGGCTGGTTTCTGCAGGGAGCCAGCTTTGGGGGATGCATCAACGTGGTTCTTGGGAAGGGTAGGGGGGTGGAAGGTATTTGGAGGACAATTAGCCAAAGGAAGTCAGGATGTGGAAGGCCCCTGGCGAGACCCAGTTTCCCTGAGTGTTTGCAGTAAGGTGTCCCCTCTGTCACCTGCATCTCCAGGCGCTCATGTCAAGGTCCCATCCCACGTCCCTTTCCTGCTCATCGGTGGAGGAACTGCTGCTTTTGCTGCTGCCAGATCCATCCGTGCCCGTGACCCCGGAGCCCGGGTAAGAGCTGTCCTGCTCCAGAGCAGGCGTGTGGGTGGCCGAACGCTGTGCTCGCTCCAGAGCCTCTGTGTGTGTGTTGCCATTTGCCTGCCACTGCTCCAGCTGATGTGTTTCCTGACCAATTACAGGTGCTGATTGTGTCTGAAGATCCTGCCCTGCCCTACATGCGTCCACCTCTTTCCAAAGAACTGTGGTTTTCCGATGATCCCAACGTGACAGAGACTTTGCGGTTCAAGCAGTGGAATGGCAAGGAGAGGAGGTATGTGGCACTGCAGGTGACAAGGCTGAAGGGGAGTGTTTAGTGACAGGGTGACAATGATCAAAGAGTTCTTGGGAGAGAACCACAAGCCACTGTAGGTGTGTTGGTGCTGGCAGGGCTTGAGGAGCTCTGCTTCCCACCTGAGTCTGCTCTGTACTTGATAGCTCTTGAACCTTGCTGTGATTCCCTTAGACATGTCCCACCATGGGAATCCTGTGAAATAAGTTAATAAAGGTGAAGCTCCATGAGTTAGAACAGAGCTCCAGGGACACTGGATCACATCTGATCCTTGTAACATCTGTGATTAACCCTTACTTGATGGTTGGACTTGATGATCTTAAAGGTCTTTTCCAACCTGACCAATTCTATGATTCTGTGATCCAAAACCCTTGAACTTCAACAGTGTGAAGACCCTGATTCTTAAGAATAGATAAATAAGAGTTCTGGAGCTTGTTATGGATGCCCAGAGTTGTCTTTGTCTCATTGGAATTGCTGAATAGCTGGATCTCTGGTATCCCAGAGCAAGTGGAACCCATTTGGTAATGGAGCTTTTCTCAGTATCTATTTCCAGCCACCGTCATTCTACGTGCCTGTCCAGGACCTGCCCTCTGTGGAAAATGGTGGGGTGGCAGTTCTGTGTGGCAAGAAGGTGAGTACGGCACTGATTGTTGTTCCTACAGCTTTTCCCAAGCAGAGCCTGGGCTCTGAGGCTGGTACTGAACCCCTGGAGGTGCAGGGAGCGTTGGCTGGGAAGGGGGATGTGTACAAGTTAGGGAAAAGTGTGATGGAGCAGAGGTTATGCTAGTCTTAAGTTTGAAAACAGGAGAAGCCAAGAGGAATAGCAGTGAGCTGAGGGAAGATGATGAAGAAGAGAGAAGGATAGGTCTGGAGTCTGGGCATGGGACAAGAATATGTAGAGCTTAGAGACAAGGTGTGACAAAGAGGAACTGGGCTGTGTTGGCCAGAGGGTGAGGTGAGGAGAGCACAGTGATCCAGGTAGTGGGTGATAAGGTGGCCAGGAGCAATGTGCAGAAGCAGCAGGAAGGTGGAGAAATTTAAGGTGAGCCTTCTACTATACTCATGTCCTCAGTTTTTTGTATGTTGCTATGATGTCAGTGACTCCTCTTCCTGCTGAGCTGTGCTGTGTCTGAGCCCATTTCAGACTCAGACCCTGGGAAGATCAGTCCGAGCTGTGGTGACTCCCATAGAAGTTGTCTTAATTCCCACTTCCAGTCATCTCCCTTCCCACCTTCTACCCCCCTGTCCCTAAACTTAAAGGTGGGAAAATGTTAATTCCAAGTTTGCATCTCTGATCAGTAGTGCGTGCAGTTTAACTCAAACAGCCACAGTGCACAGCAGCTTGAGCTTGGCTTGGTTAATCCTGCAGGTTGTACATATGGATGTTAGAGGGAACACAGTGAAGCTCAGTGATGGGACCCAGATAACCTACGACAAATGTCTCATTGCCACTGGTAAGACTTTGAGGTTTTTTTCTCTTGTTCCTTGTCTTGTGCCAGGCTTTTTATTACGGTGGCATTTAGCTAGAGATAAATTCTCTAGAGCACCTCTCTTGTGGAGACAGGCTGGGAGAGCTGAAGAAGAGAAGGCTCTGAAGAGGCCTTAAAGACTCTTCCAGTGCCTAAAGGGGCTCCAAGAGAGCTGGAAAGGAACTTTGGACAAGGGCCTGGAGTGACAGGACAAGGAAGAATGGCTTCCCACTGCCAGAGGGCAGGGTTAGATGGGATATTGGGAGAAATTCTTCCCTGTGAGGATGGTGAGGCCCTGGCACAGGGTGCCCAGAGAAGCTGTGGCTGTTCCATCCCTGGAATTGTTCAAGGCCAGGTTGGATAGGACTTGGAGCAGCCTGGTCTGGTGGAAGATGTCCCTGCCCGTGGCAGGGGGTGGAACTGGATGGGCTTTAAGGTCCCTCCCAACCCAAACCATTCAGGGACTCTGTGGTTCTATCTGACAAGTTTCTTCAGTAAGTGCAAACCCTTGGGAGAGCAGTCACACAGAGGACAGTCATGCAGCCAGCTATGCCGTTGGCTTTTGCAGCTGCCTTGCATCATCCAGCTTTTCTGGGACTTCCAAAGTTTTGCCCTGTGGAGGGTAGGAAGGAGGAAAATGTGACTTCCCTGGAAGGAGCTCCTGTACAGACCAACCTCTTCAAATCCTGCCTGTGTGGCAGCAGCAAGCAGAACCAGCAGCTCTTGCTTGGGCAGAGCATTGCTCCAGCATTGGCTCCAGCATTTCTAGAGCAGTTCAGGTGGCACTGGCTGTCTCCAGGCAGTGGGGCAGGGTGTGGGTGTGGGGTCACCCGCTGCTCACACAGGTCAGCAGCAGGGATGGAGCATACTGCAGCAGTTTGGAAAGCACAGTCGGGATCCAAGGCAGCTTTGCACTGTCTGGATAGCCAGTGCCATGGCCCTGGTGTCACTGGTCTCTCTTCTCTCCCTCCTTGTCCTCAGGGGGAACCCCAAGGAACCTGCCCGCCATCGAAAGAGCAGGAAAGGACGTACAGAAAAGGCTGACGCTGTTCCGAAAGGTAATCTCCAGGTGCTGCCAGTCCTGGGGCAAGGCTGAATAAATCAGAGCCACTACCACTGCTTTCAGCTTTTAAATTCTTCTGCTCTGGCCAGGACAGCCTTGCCTTGGCACTGCTTCTCTCAGCTGGTGCCCAGGAGTGCACTGGTGGTTCATTCCTTTTCCCGGGCAGGAAACCAGGGTAGAGTCTGCTCAACCACTCACCTGCTGGCCTCAGGCCTGAGAGCTGTCATAATACATGGGATTATGGGATTTTAGTTTTTTTTTTTTTCAAGTTTCCCTCCTATATGACTTTGCTGCACCTTCCAAAGTGAATAAAAGCCTTGGAAGATGGTCAGTGATCTTCTAAGGTCTGCTGTAGAGTTGCTTTTCGTTGGCAAACTCCACTTTTCTTGAAAATGTAACCTTCTCCTTAGTCTAGTTCAGGGAATTGATCAGGAATAAGAAGGCGTATGAGAATCTTCTGTTCTGTGCTGGACTCCCCCTGAGGTGTGGTCTGCTTAACTGGAAAGGAAGGATGGATGATGTGAGCTGTTGCATCCTTGTTATACTGGTTGTGCTGCAGGACATTTGAGTTTAGAAGTTTTACTGTAATTGCCCTTGAAATTCAGGGGAAATGCAGGAATTTGAGATTCCCTGGTCAGGTAAAAGCTTGCACAGACATAAGGAATCCAGGGAGTTTTTTCTGTGCGACAGGCAAACAGGAGGAAGGAGCAACACATCTCCTTTTCTAAGCTGGGGAGAGAGTCATTCCTATTTCAGAGGGAGAAATTGGAGACAAATGCCTTCTGCTGCCATTCCTGTTAGAGAGGATTTGAAATGGGGGTAAATATTCTTTCAGATCGAGGACTTCCGAAACCTGGAGAAGATTTCAAGAGAAGTCAGGTCCATCACAATTATTGGTGGTGGTTTCCTTGGCAGTGAGCTGGCCTGTGCTCTGGGAAGGAGAGGTGAGTGTTATCCTCGGCTGTGACAGACACTGAGTGGAAGCAGTCTGATGTTAGAAACTTCTTTTCACTCCCAACTGCTCAGTTTTTGCACAGACTTTGTGTTTGCCTGAAGGAAACTGAAACCACATGTGTTTTGTTGGCTGCAAGGCCAAGATTTTCCCAGTTTCTCCCTCATTAACTGCCCAGCAGCCCCTGACCACAGAGGTGGGAGCTCTGCAGGCCAGTGCATGCTGCAAAATTACTCCACCCTCTAAAAAATCACATTTGTCCTCTGTGCTCAAAGCCACCTTCAGACTAGGATTTCGGGGTTGGAACTGGATGATCTTTAAGATCCCTTCCAACCCAAAGCACTCCATGATTCTGTGGTAGTGAACAGCTGGATTCTGCCACTGTGCGAGGAGTGACTTTTTGGTAATTTTTCTATGTTTTCTCCAAAATACCAAGCATTTTACCTAAAAGGCTGTTATCTAGAGTTTGCAGGTGTGTATGTGAAACAGTCACTTTGTGACTCCCAGAGAAAGTCTGGGAGCCAGAACTCTCAGATATGGAAACTTCTGTCAAGCTCCTTGTGTAAAGTCAAGCGTGTGTGTCCTGACATCCGTGCTGCTGCTCTCTATCCCACTGCTCTGTGCTTCCCTTCCAGCACGAACCCGAGGCCTGGAGGTGATCCAGCTGTTTCCAGAGAACGGCAATATGGGCAAAGTCCTGCCTGAATACCTGAGCAACTGGACCACAGAGAAAGTCAGGAGAGGTGAAGCTGCAGAGCAGGGGGGTGGGCCGGTGGCTGCTGTGCAGCTCTTGCTGGTGACATCCAGCTCTGTTCTGTCCCTGGGCTCTGCAAGGTGGCCCAGGTGCAGTGCAGAGGAAGTTGCAGTTCAGGCAGCTCAGGCAGCACAGAGCTGCCATGAATCCCTGGCTTCTTGGCAGTTCCTCTGGGAAAGCTGAGCCAACAGGCTTGCTGATGCCAGTGAGGCTTTCCCTGTGGCTGTTGCTCCCTGGAATGGTCCCTATGGCCATGCACACACCTGGGTCAGGCCAGGAGCTGTAGTGTTTAGCTGCTAAAGCCAGTAAGATCCAAGACACCTTTTTCCATTTGCTGCGTTAAGTGCAGAATATTCCTGTGCGTTGGGAAGTGGAGCGGAATAGAGGGAGGAGGAATATCGTCTGAGTGGATTGCAGGGCCTGATAACCCACAGGTCTGAGTTACTTTCCTTTTTGAAAGCTGCCTTGTCGGACCTCTGGGTCTGGCTGAGGCACAGCAATAGGTAATCGAGTGTCCTTAGTTCCTGAACACCTGTTTTGGGGAATTCTTTTGGATGTGACCTTGTTATCACATACGACACGTACTTTGGATTGGCATTCAGGCAACTCTCTCAGACTTTCTGTCTGGATTTCTCCTCATGCTTCCTTCCAAGCTGTACTGGCACAGCTTAGGAGGTCTCTGTCTTGGTTCCTCGCCTGGAATCTGTCTGCACCAACCACCTGCTCCAGGTGGGATCTGCCCAGCCCTGAGCAGACACTGAGGTGTCCTGTGCTTGTTTCCAGAGGGGGTCAACGTCCTGCCCAATGCTGTGGTCAAGTCTGTCTCTGTCTCCGGCAACCGGCTGGTGATTCAACTGAAGGATGGCCGGAAGGTAAATGGAAAAGCAGGGAGAGGGTAAAGCTTGGAGGGGCGTGGAGGGAATGAAGATCCTAACTACGAATTCCCAAACAGGTGGAGACAGATCACATTGTGGCTGCAGTAGGGCTGGAGCCTAACGTGGAATTGGCCAAGTCGGCGGGGCTGGAGGTGGACTCGGACTTCGGGGGGTTCCGGGTGAACGCGGAGCTGCAGGCACGCTCCAACATCTGGGTGGTGAGTGTGGGCACAGCTTTCTGGCTGTGCTGATGCAGCAGCTCGGGACACACGAAGTTGTGGGGCTGGTGCACTGGGGTGAGGTGAAAAAGAGCGAGTAAGGAGTAAGGAGAGCAGTTGTAGCGCAGGCCCAGAGCCTGGTCAGGCATCGCAGCCGCTTCGTTGCCGTGGTAACCACGGCGAGTTTGGAATATTTATGCTGTGTAAGAGGAGTTGGGGTAACCTAAAGATAGCCTGGATCGCTTGCTTGCGTAAGAGTCCCTTGGTGGGCGTCGTGACTTTTTGATTCCTCTGGAAAACGTACCTCATGCTGCCTTATTTTTCCAAAGATTGGTGAAAAAATGCCAAGAAACTGGGAGTTGTGTAGCCCAGGGAGTGGGACGAGGTAGTGGTGGCGTTTGGGGCTCGTCAGAAAAACGCAGTTCCTTGTTCCGTTTGTTCTCTCCCCAGCGTTTCTTTGGGCACTAATCGAAGCTGTGGCTGTCAGTGTTTGGTGCTCACTGGGTGATTCTCTTTAAGGCAGGGGATGCTGCCTGTTTCTACGACATCAAACTGGGCCGGAGACGTGTGGAGCACCACGATCACGCCGTGGTGAGCGGGAGACTGGCTGGAGAAAACATGACTGGAGCTGCAAAGCCCTACTGGCACCAGTCCATGTTCTGGTAACGTTCCTTTCTTCCTCTGGGGTTCCTTGTTTGGCCACGTTGCAGGAGCTCGGACAAGATGCACCTTGGGAAGTGTGTGTTTCCCAGGAGCAGTGAAACCACCTCAGCAAACACCTTGTACAGCTTCATGTTCCCAGAGCCCAGGGAGGGGGAGGTGTTTGAGCATTCACTGCTCTGCCCTCACCTCTCTGAAGTGTTTATCCTTCCTGTAGGTTCCAGTTTGTCATAGTCCCATTCTGCAGAGCAAGAAGCAATAAAGAGCAGCCCTGTCCTCAGAGCAGGCTGATTTACAGGTGGAATTTAGCAGCAGCTTTTCTGTTACGAGTATGTGACGTTCACCAGCAGAGTCTGTTGCTTTCAGTTGTGTTGCTGAACTGATGCTTTAGTGGCAAAGCATTGCTGCATCCAGGTGTACCTGAAAGGTTGTTTTCCAGAGAGAGGTATCAAGAAAACGGGCAATTTTACTGTATCTTCCTGAAGTTCTTTTTGAAACAAAGCGAAACAAAATGGAACAAACTTCACAAAAAATTAAAATCCCAAAGGCTGTTGGTTCGAGGTCAATTTAACAGGATTTTAAATATAGGGAAAAGAGTTTTAGTTTTCTCAGAGAAATCCCTTCAAAAATAGGTATTTATGACCTGCTGTCATTTACCTGAACTCTTGGTCTGTCCTGCCTGGGTTGTGGGCCCAAAGCATTTCTCACTTCACTTTTAAACAAGAAACACAGAACCAGAGAATCACTGAGGTTGGGAAAAACCTCAGAGATCGTGGAGTGCAGCCAAGGACACAGAAACATCCATTTCCCAGGTGTGTTTTTCCTCAGGATGCTCTTGGCCACAACCAGATGCAGGTGAAGGAGGGCTGTGAGTTGCAGCCCCGTTTGTTGGCAGGTGTCACTCTGGTTGCCCAGAGAAGCTGTGGCTGCCCCATCCCTGGAAGTGTTCCAGGCCAGGTTGGACAGAACTTGGAGCAATCTGGGCTAGCGGAAGGTGTCCCTGCCCATGGCAGGGGCATGGAATGAGATGAGCTTTCAGGTCCCTCCCAACCCAAACCACTCTGCGATCCTTCCTGAGCTCTGACTGATCACTGCTGGAAGCCTGCTCTGGTCAGCTGGCATGTTACTGGTGTTCCTTGCAGCAACCCCAGTCTGTGCTGGAGGATTCTGGCTGGGAAGGTCGTGATGTACATAGATCCAAACTGTTTTGTGATGCATCTGTTCCCTCAGCATCCTGGGGAACACTTTAGACACCTGGTACTTACAGGTCCCAAACCACAGCTGCTTTGTCTCCTAACAGCACCCCGGTTCAGATCCAGGTGCCCAGTTCAAGGAGGTGTTAGGACAAAGTGTTCTTCTCTTTGGTTTTTAAATACTCTCTGAAACATGCACTAAATAATTGTCCGTGCTCCCAAGCCTGGTGTGGATAACAGCCATTGCCAGAAGCTGCCACCCAGGAAGCAGCCTTGAAGGATTTCAGAATTTTGGTCAGGGAACTGGTTTTTCTGAAGCTGTTGGCCTTGGACTTGCTGTGTCTTGGCTCCTTGTTCCACCTCTGTATGCAGAGCAGACACGGTGTGTCAGTCACTCTGCGTCCGCGATCGCCCACACCACGCTGGCAGTAAGGATGGATGGATGGAATTGCCTTGGATTTGTCTCACTAATGCTACAAATTACTTTATTTCCACTTGATTCCTAGGAGTGATCTGGGCCCCAACGTGGGGTACGAAGCCATTGGCCTCGTGGACAGCAGTTTGCCAACAGTCGGAGTCTTCGCGAAAGCGACAGCGAAGGACACGCCGAAAAGTGCGACAGAGCAGTCAGGTAAGGGCCAGGTGTGCTGGGGAGCCTGCAGGTGTTGGTGTGGGCACACACAGTCAGTCTGAGAGCACAAGGAGTCAGCAGTCTGCTACTCCCTTTCTAGACCAACCTTTAAAGGCTGGGTTTGATAATAAAATGTGATTAAACCACAGCGTTCCTCCAGGAAACCATCAGGTAACTCATCTACTGACATGCAGACTTTCCCAGTGAAGCTCGATCTCCTCCACAGCAATAAAATGATCAGTTTGGGACAACAGAGACTGAAGATCCAAGCACATTTATTTTGTATTCACTGCCTGGAGGAAGCAGACTTTTCTGTCCTAGGCACTTGGGGGTGGAAGTCAGGAGTTGTCGGGTGTTGTGCTCCAAGTTGGGATTGTTTCATCCTTGTGTTAATGAAACTTAACTTTTGGGGGACACAGCTCTTGAGTCTGTTCCTGTCATCACATGTCCTGCCCTGGGTGTGTGACACCTCATGTCTCTCTGCCTTAGGGACTGGAATTCGATCCGAGAGCGAAACGGAAGCGGAAGCCTCGGAAGTTCACATCTCTCAAAGCTCTTCACCGACACCTCAAGTCCCGAAGCAAGGAGAAGATTACGGCAAAGGTGTCATTTTCTACCTCAGGGATAAAGTCGTGGTGGGAATCGTGTTGTGGAACATCTTCAACAGGATGCCCATTGCTCGGAAGGTCAGTGCAGGACGAGGATGATGGGCAGTGGGGCTTGACAGAGCAGGGATTTCCTCGTGGAAAAATCAATCTGCCAATCCAAAGTGAGGATAAATAAATGCAGATGCTCTGTCTGACGCAGAGCTGGGCAGTATCCAATTCACCCTGTCCTGGGTGAATTAGGGGAGCTGTCCTTGTGCTTTTTTGCATGTGTGTGCAAAATTTTTACAGAAATGAATCAAGTGTGTGCTCCAAGCCTTGCCTTGGCATGGCTGAAATTCTAGGCCTATAATAAGTAGAGGCTGGAATCATGGTGATATGGAGCATGAGTGAAATGTCCCATCTTTGTGCTGCTTTGTCCAATGTCCAAGTGCCTGAAACAGTCTCAAACATCATTGTCCCAGAAACAGCCACAGAGTCAGGGCTGGGACAGCCCTGAGAGGTGCTTAGTGTGTCTCCACCCCCGTGGTCTGTCTCAATCCTTGCAGGTCAGCTCAGCCAGGCCGAGGTCAGGTTTTAACACCTCTGAAAAATTTCAGTAGTTTAAACTATGGGAGTGATCCCACACTACCCCCAGGTGATCTCTCCCAAAACGAACTATTCGTGGTAGAAGTTTTTGATATCTAATCTGAATCCTTTATGATGCAGTTGAAACCTATTGCTTCTCCCATCCCCATGGAAGGGAGATCCTTTCCTTCTTTCCTTCCTTCCCTTAGCAACCTTTCCCCTAAATCTGAATGTGCAGAGTCCTTGACCTCTTCGTCTTGTCTAAAAGCTGCAGGTTCAAGCCAGGTATCCTGGCTCTGAGACAGTGCCAGGCTCACCTTCACAGAACTGAATCACTTTTTGAAGACACTTGTTCTCCCCAGCTGTAAAGGGAAACCCAGAAACAAATCCCACAGGGACAGGGAAGTTGGTTTTCCAGCTGTTCCTGTAGGCAGGTGCTGGTACGTTTAAGAGTCCCATGTGAATTTGGGTGCAGAAAGTGCTGTTGTGCTGTGGCTGTCTCAGTCTGGTGCTTCAGAGAGGATCCAAAGAGTTCCTGGCATTGGCTGTGACAGTCCTGCAGCACTGGCTGTTTATAGGATGTGCAGGATTTAATGCCTTCTCCTTCCTCCAGATCATCAAAGACGGGGAGGAGCACGAGGACCTCAATGAAGTAGCAAAGCTCTTCAACATCCACGAAGACTGAACTCTCTAAGGGGAACATGGCATTAGGAGTGAGGGGGCTGCTGGCTGTGTGCATCCCTTCACCTTGGACAGCTTCCCTGGAGCACTTGGGAATATTCCACTCACCTGAGCCCAGTGTTTGCACCAATAAAGTCAGATTGTTCTAGTTACCTGCTTCTTCCTGCACCGCTGCCTGGCTGGTGAGGAAAGGGGACTGTGCTGCCAACTGGGCTCAGTTTTCCCTTGTATCAACCTTGGAGAAGCCTGCAGAGCTCCCTCTTTCCTTGCAGTGATTCCCAGCTGGGAGTTGGCAGGGCTTCAGCCCCTCCCGTGCCTCAGGTGCTCCAGCTCCTGTCTGGGGCTCTGTGGTCCTCACTCCACAGTGCCCGTGTCTGCCTGCAGCTGGACAGCCCCAGCTCACACCCTGTGTCCCCACAGCTGGCTTTGCCCACAACACCGAGCTTGGAGAGCCTGCAGGGAAAGCTGCTGCCGTTGGGATCCTTCCCAGGCACCACATCACACGATCCATGGTGCCTCTCCTGTTTGGTGATCCCCTCCCCACTATGCCCAGGGTGTCACTGCTGGTCCCCAGGCACAGGTTACCTGGATGAGGGAATACAGGTGTGACAAGAGCTGGCACCAGATGCCACTTGGGCTCTGAGGACAGGGCTGGGAAGGGCAGGGGTGGAGCTGCACTGTCCCACAGGGCAGCCATCTCGTGACACCTACATCCCACAGGAGCCCTGGCACACCTGGAGGAGCCAAAGAGCTCCCTGAGCCTGAACTGAACATTCCACCACCTGGGTGGTGTCAGCTCCGAGGAGGTGCCGCTGCTCTGCTGTCCAGGCTGCAGGGGGGGATCCCCACATGCTCCCAAAAGGTGCCAAGAGCAGCCGTGAGGGACCCACTGTGGTGGAAGGGGCTGCTCGGGGCGGGGCCTCTGTGAGCGGAATGGGGTGTGGGGGTGCTGCCCCATGCCTGGTTCCACCCAGTTCTGGGCATGGGCATTTCCCTGGTGTGGTGGGTTTGACCCTGGCCGAATGCCAGGTACCCACCAAAGCTGCACCATCACTTCCCTCCACCGCTGGACAGGGCAGAGAAAATGCAACAGAAGGTTCATGAGTTAAGGGCAGGGAGAGGTCACTCAAGGTGATTCAGACTCTGACTTGGGGAAATAAGCTACCCATTGCAATCAGAACAGGATGATGACCAGTAAAACAAATCTTAAAAACATTTTCCCCACACTTCTCTCTCCTTCCCAGGCTTTCCCTCCTTCCCTGCAGTGCAGGGTGTTGGGAAGGGGGGTCATGGTCAGTTCAAAACATGTTGTTTCTGCCTCTGCTGGTGGAGAGGAGTTGGAATCCTTCCCCTACTGCAGGGTGGAGTCCCTCCCACGGGAGAAATTCTCCATGAACTGCTCCAGTGTGGGTCCCTTTCCATGGGGTCAGTCTTTCAGGAACTTCACTAGCATGGGTCCCCTACAGGGTGACGAGTCTTACCAGCAAACCTCTCCAGTGTGGGCTTCTCTCTCCATGGGTCTGCAGGTCCCTGACAGGACCCTGCTCCAGCACGGCCTTCTCATGGGTTTACAGCTCTCTCTCGGGCATCCCCCTGCTCCTTGTGGGCTCCTCCCCAGGCTGCAGGTGGATCTCTGATCCATCAGGGACCTCCTCAGGCTGCAGGTGGATCTCTGCACCCCATGGCCCTCCCTGGGCTGCAGGGGCACAGCTACCCCACCATGGGCTGCCCCACAGGCTGCAGGGGAACCTCAGATGTGGCGCTTGGAGCACCTCCTGCCTCTCCTTCTGCACTGCCCTGGGGGTCTGCAGGGCTGTTCCTCTCCCATATTCACACTCCACTCTTCTCGGGACCCAATTCCATCTGTGCAGTAACTTTTTTTTCCTCCTTAAATCCCTCATCCCCGAGGTGTCACTGCCATCTCTGATGGGCTCGGCCTTGGCCAGTGGCGGGTCTGTCCTGGAGCTGCTGAAACTGGCTCTGACAGACATGGGAGAAGCTTCTCACTGTAAGCTCACCCCACCCCTCTACCAAAAGCTGGCCATGCAAACTCAATACACCTGGCAACTGCCCTGGGTGATGCAGGGCAAACTCAATACACCTGGCAACTGCCCTGGGTGATGCAGGGCAAACTCAATACACCTGGCAACTGCCCTGGGTGATGCAGGGCCTCACAGAGCAAAGGGGCCATTGTGAGAGAGGGGGGCCTGATGGCACCAAGGATCCATTGTGACATTGCAGGGCCTTGTGGCATAAAGGAAGGGGCCCTTGTGACACTGCAGGGCCTCATGGCACCAAAGAAGAGGCCACTGTGACGCTGCGGGGCCCTGCCCTGCCCTGCCCAGGAGCTCCCTGGGGTGCCCGCTCAAGCAGAGCAGAACACCTTGCTCGGGAGGCAACAGCTCTGTTTTCCTTCTCTCACCTGCAGGGAAGGAACCACGGAGAAGAGGAACACCAACCTGCGCCCCAAAGAGGGGCACCAGCTGAGAGACAGGACAGGGGGCAGAGGCCGAAGGTGGGATGGCGCCGGTCGTGCCAACACTGTGCCAAAGCAGCCGCCTCCATTCCCGTCCTCCCGCCCGTGCCAGCGGCAGCCTCAGGACAGCCAGGGCCAGCCCCTCCGTGAGGACACGCTGTCCTCGCCCTCCAGCACGCTGAGCTCCAAGGGCTGTCCTGGCCGTCCCTCGCTCCCGGCCAGCAGCACCGCCGCCCGCAGCCAGCGCCGGCGGGTGAAGAGCTGCTGGGCCTGCAGTGGGGTGGCGAGGCCGGAGCCCCAGAAGCAGGACAAGGACCACGGATGGTCGGATGAGGCTCCCCTTGTGCCTCAGCGCTGCAAACACATCATCTCCCGTATCCCTGTCCCAGCAGCAGCTGCTGGGAGGAGCCAGGCGAGCCCTGCCAATCCCCCTCTCCCCTTTCACGCCTACAAGGGGAAATCTTCCCCCGGCCCACGGCGAGAGGTCTCTCGCTGCGTCAAGCAGGAAACCCAGCCTAAGACCCCAGCACAACGGGCGGATTCAGCTGTTCGTCAACACGCTAAGCAGGAAACCCACCTCGAGACCCCCCCAAAAGGGGTGGATTCAGCTGTTCCTCAACACGCTGAGCAGGAGACACAGACAGAGGAGCAAACTTCAGCTGCTCCCCTCTTGGTTGACCAAGAGACACAGACTGAAACTGCAACACAAGAAGAGGAGATTTCACCTGCTCCTCAACTCATCGACCAGGAAACACAGATCGAGTCCCCGGTCCCACGCAGCCCCTCAGCCCTGAGCTCAGCCCTCTCCACCACAGAGCTCTGCTCTGCTCCCCCGGCTGGTCGGCAGCGGCTCCCCGTGTTCCGGAGGGCGCTCGGGGCTCTGCGCGGGGCGTTGCGGTGCCCCTGCCTGGCGGGACAGCCCGAGCAGCGGCGCGGTGCCCGGCGGGACCCCGGGGACGGCTGCTGCTCCGAGCCGGTGCAGCATCCCCGGGGCGGCACGGCGGGGACGGGGGCGGCACCTCGGGCGTTCCCCGCCGCTGAGGACACCGAGCCGCCACCGTACTCGTGGCCGTGGCTCATCGAGACGAGTCTGTGACTGGCCACGGCGACTGTTAATAAAAGGTTTCGCCTTTCCCATCGTGCTCGCCAGTGCCTGGTCCATCGGGAGAAAGGCGGGTGCAGGGAAGGCCCGCGCCGGCAGGCAGAGAGGGAGAGCCCCTGCGCTCCTTCAGCCAAGCAGAGCCCGTGCCCTTGGCCTCTCCCCTGCCTTCTGGTGCTCCAGCTCCTCTGGTTCAGATCCCTGGGCTCGGTGCGGGCTGAATCCCTTCAGGTCCCTCCCTTCCACCCACCTGCCTCTGAGAGAACATTTCAGATCATAAATTTGGTGAGTTTTCCCTGCTGCTGCTCCCCCCTGCACCTCTTTGGCCTCAGGAGGAACCTCCCCAGCATGGTGGGGGTAGTAGCACCTGCACGAGCCTCTCTCCCCTCTGTTTTTGGGACCCTCCTTGACGGCTCCAGTGCTGAGAGCAGTGGGAGCAGCACTGTTCCCCCTTGGGGAGTCAGTCCTTGGTAGTCCCTGAGCAAAGCTTTCCTCCAAAGCTTTCCTTCCAAAGCTTACCCCCATCAGGGAATTCCTGCTACCCTTTACAAGGAAAAAGAATAACAATACCCAGAGGAGCCCCATGAGCTCCCTCTGCTCCTGAAGGGGTGAATGAAGCCAGACAGGGACTGGTTGCCTCACGGATGGGGCTGGGGGGATGCTGAGGGCAGACAGGGCTACCCAGCCATCAGTGGTGGCACCTGGCCATGGCCAGGCTTGTCTGCAGAACTCCCATCAGCAAGGTCGGGCAGCAGAGTGCCCCCAAGTTTTTCTGGCTCAACCCTGTGCAGAGACATGGGCCCTGCAGATCCCACAGCCCCCACAGCCAACCCTCTCCCTTCCCTGAGCCACAGGCTCGAGCTGACACACGTGGAAACCTGCCCAGACACAGGACACAGAAGAAAGGGCAGGAGACATTGGGCCTGATGCAGGTTTTTTCTGTACATCAGTGTTTTTGACACCACAGCCTGTTGCTGCATATAATAAAACAGAAATCAGAAAGAGCAACCAGAATACACACCCAAAGGCAAAAAACCCTCGGCTTAAAGAAGGTGCTGCCGGGCCCCCAGGGGGAGGCTGGCAGTGAGGGTCCAAGGGGGGGACACGCCTGCCCTGGCTGGGGAGAAACACAACACAAAGAAAAAAAACGAACCAACAAAAAAACCCCACCCAAGGCTCCCGCTGGGGAGCGGGGAGAGCCGGAAATCCCCCGATTGTCCCGTCCTCAGTCCTGTTAGCACCTGTACAATAAAACTGTACCGGCCCCGGAGCGGAGCAGCCTGCCCGTGCCCGCTCCCTCCCGGAGAGATGCTCCCGGGGACACCGGTGGGGAGCGGGGCAAGGAGAGGGCTTCTGCCGTGGAGACAGTCCCTGGGGCAGGGGGACAAGCTGCCAAAGCTTGGGGTGTGCTGGGGGGCCGTGGGCTGCCCCTGCCCGGGCGGCAGCCGCCTGGGACGGGGAGCAGCAGCACAAATGAGATGGAGGAAAGAGCCCGGGAGAGGATGGAGCAGTGGGGCTGGCTCCCGGCTGGGGCTGAGTGCCGGTGGCAGGAGCCAGCTCCAAAGCCAAGGGAAGGGGCTGTCCCCAGGCTGCAAGGGCCAGGACCCTCCGGGCCTGGCCAGCCTCGGGGCACACTGGAGAAGGGCTGGGGGACGGCCTCATCCCCTGGCCCGGAGCTCACCATCACAGTGATACAGACTCAGCAAAAACAAAGAAAACATTACAAATTAAATACTAATTAAATAAATACTATGGAAGACGTTGGGAGGGGGAGGGCAAACGGAGAGGCGCAGTTCCTGGGGGTCCAGCGGGGAGGGGCGGCAGGTCCCACCACCCCTCGCTGCCCCGTGAGCCCCGTGGAGGGGCTCCATCACCCACTGGGGCTGGATGGGATGGCAGCGACCGACCGCCACTGCTCGTGGCCAAGGGATCCCGGGAAGTCCTTGGAGGCGAGGGTCCTCCCTCCCCAGCTGCAGGAGACCCTGAGGAGAGGAGGAGTGGCTGCCCAAAGACTCGGGTCCCTGCTGCTGGCACTAAGAGAGCTGCTTCCCCTTGGTCCTTATTATTGCCTCGTGATGCCGGGAGCAACCCGTCCCCGTCAGCTGCTCCAGGCCTGGTACTCCACCGCCGAGCCCAGCAGCTGCAGCAGCTCGGGCTCGTAGTGCACCAGCTCCACAGTCTCCGCCGTGCCCGGCGCTGGCTCGGGGCTCGCCGGCACCTCCTCCTGTGCCAGCACCTGGCTCAGGGACACCTGGCGTTGGAACTCTGCCCGGGGCAGCGTGGCGATCTCCAAGTGTGGGAAGCGGGCCTGGAATATGCGTGAGGACAGCTTCAGCCGCTTGAGCACGTCCGAGAAGAGGAACCAGTTGCAGGGCCTGAGAGGACGGCAAGAGGACGGTGGGTTAGGGGTGGAGGGGGCTGTAGGCACAGTGCCCACCTGCCAGGGAGGAAAAAGGGGAGCTTCCTGACAGGCATGGCACAGGCAGCAGGATGTGCTTGCCCACGGAGCAGGACTGCGTGGGGGGGAACCCTGATGAGCCTCTCCTGCTCCCTGAGAACATTCCAGGCTGCCCCAAGCGAGGCAGCGCTGCTTCCCCAACTTCCTCAGCACTGCAGCCACAACTTCCCCTCTGTTGCCCAGAGCAGCTGTGGCTGCCCCATCCCTGGAAGTGTCCCAGGCCAGGTTGGACAGGGCTTGGACCAAGCTGGGATAGTGGAAGGTGGATGGCAAGGGGTTGAAATGGGATGAGCTTTAAGACCCTTCCCAACCCAAACCATTCTGGGATTCTGTGATGATTCTGTGAAAATAACCACCTGAGATACACCAACTGCTCTTCACCCTGTCGGAATGACTGACGTGCTGGACGTGGTGCCGCCTGTGCCAGGGCTGTGGCCCCCCGTGGTACTGCTCTCTGCTCCAGGGAAGGATACTCACCCCCGGGAGACGGACACTTGGAGGTTGTAGCTGGGAAGCAGTGGCTTGTCTGAGAACTCAAACATGAAGTTGTCTGCTTCTTGCTCCTCTTCCTCCTGATCTGAACTCCCCGGAGGGTTGAGCAGAAGGTCACAGCCGATGGTGTCCTTCCCCTCTGCAACAGGCAGGACAGAGGTTGGCACCACTCACAGTCACACAGCAGCCAGTGCTGGCACTCCCTGGGGATGGCTCTGGCCACTGCCACAACCCCACGAGCACCTTCCCACAACACCCCAGCAGCCACATGTGAGCTGTGTTTCTCCTGCTCTCCCCAGCCTCTCGTCCCAGAGGTACATGGAGTGAGCGTTGGCTGCTCTGCACAGTGAGACTCTGTTTGCTGACCAGGTCACGTGGAAAGAACATCCCAAGTCATGGCAGGAACCTCAGGTGTGCCGTGATCCCACAGGTGGGACAGGGCACAACCTGCACCATGAGCTACCCCACTGGCAGACCCCAGACTGTCCCTGACCTGGCCTTGGCCCCACTGCCATGCCAGCACAGCCCTCCTCAGCCTGGAAGAGCCTGGAACAGTGAGGTAGGAGGTGGATGTAGAGAGGCTTTGCCTGCACAGGCCCTACTAAGGAAGGCACAGCAAGTGCTCTGCTCAAGAGCTTCTCCACCCAGATCCCACCCTCAGAACATCCAGAAGGTGATCCAGAGAAGCCAGCACCAGGGAGGACAGTCTTTGTTTGTGCCAACAAAGAGTAATCCAACCAAGCAAACATGAGGGGAAATTTAGGTTAGATATACAGAAGTTCCTCTCTGTGAGGGTGGCGAGGCCCTGGCACAGGTTGCCCAGAGAAGCCGTGGCTGCCCCATCCCTGGAAGTGTTGGATGAGGCTTGGAGAAACCTGGTCCAGTGGAAGGTGTCCCTGCCCATGGCAGGGGGGTGGAACTAAACCGTCTTTGAGGTCCCTTCCAACCCAAACCACTCCATGATTCTATGACTTATAGAATCCACCCTGCAGATAAAAGCTGGCTATTCCAGGAGGCACCTGAGCTCCAGCAGGACTCGAGTCCAGAGGAGATGGAGAACAGCATGCTGGATCCATAAACCATTTAAAGACAGTCAAATTTCTTATTCACCAATCTGAAAAGCTCCTGTTGAAAAGGAGCTTGCTGCCTGGATTTTATTATTAAGAGGTATGAATAGTCTTGGTTTTGCAGAGTGGTTCTGTACCAGTAAGATAATACTCCAAAAACTTCCAGAAAATAGAGTCTAGATTCTATAGAGAGCAGCCAGACCCAATGTGCTGGTGAACAAATAAACCAATTGTGTAAAAGTTCAACACCATGCATGAGAGAAAAGGCTAAAAACAAACAAACAAAAAATCTTCTGGTTTGAGGAAGGTCCACACACCAGACTGCTCACCCGGCACGGATGGGATTCCAGTAGAGGAACAACAGCAGATGACAGGAGACACTGGTTCAAGCAGGGTCTCAGAGAAAAATAGAGTCATTTATTAGTGCTGCCAAGGGAAAAAAATCCCTAAGAAACAGAAAAGTAGAGTGCTGAAATCGTCAGAATTCGCTGTAGAATAGGACAAAAATAAGTGACACGGATATTGATCCGATGTCGCTGCTGGCAAAGCTCAGATATTAGCACTGAAAAACCTCAAGTTTCTTGAGCAATGCAGGAAAAAGAGAATTAAATGCATTTAAAGTGGCAAAAATACGGCCCAGTGTCTGTCCTGAAAGCTCAGTCCTGTCTGTCAGGAGAGCGAAGGCTGGGACAAGGACAGGAACATCCTGTACCACCGCAGGAGACAATCAGGCACAACAATGTCTGTCCCAGGTGGAGACAAACCCCAGAGTGGGACTTTGTGTCTGGAGCTCCAGCAGCACCAAGTCCAGGACACTGATGACTTTTCCACACTCGGACCTCAGAGATCCCACACCCTGGCTTCCCTCATTATCCTTCTGCCCCCAGAGATTTGCAGACTTCAAGGAAAATGTGGACAACATTCCTGCCTCAAAGAATAGCAACAGCTCGAGCAGGGCCTGGGATTTCTCCTCTACACTGAGGGACGAGCAGTGCTTCAGCTGGTAGAGCTGATGGAAAGGG